TGAACACAAAGGACTTCTCATCTGAGCTACTAAGAGACACACCCATTTGGAGATAAGAGACTGATGAGCAGCTGGGAGAGAAAACACTGGCAAAGGTATGTGTCCAAGGTTACAGAAGCAGAAAATCACCCTTGGGATCAGGATACCCTTGACTTACCTCCTCATAATAAATTTTCTTTTCCTTAAGTCTGTGTGAAGTGCTTTCTGCTACTTGCAACAAAAAACTACATTGACTAAAACCATTCTACTCATTCTGGAATAACGACTTGAAAAGAGCTCAGCTAAATCAGAGGCTCATCATGCACAAGATGAAGTTGTGGGTGCTGCAAGGGATGCTGGGGTGAAGTATGATACTGTCTCATACCCTCAGGAATTTGCAAAGCAGCCTGGAGGGCAGGGCAGAAACAGCTAACTAGATACAAAACATCGTGAGAAGGACTGGAGAGAAATAGAATTGTGCTGTGAACATAAAAGAGAAAGGAGTACTTCATGAATTTTAGGAATGCAATTCACTTGTAAGTTTGGAACTTCCCGTAATATCATGCCTGCTATTCTCAATGCAGCAGCTGACAGTTGGAGGCAAAGAGGAAAGAGTTCAAAAAGAAAAAATTTAAGTGCCACCTTCCTGTAAACAGCTAAAAAGGGCTATGTTATGCTTGTGGATGAAGTTACTTGGCAGAATTTTTTATTACTTTGTTTCAACATGAATAAGAAAAACAGCAAAATGTAATACTCAAATTTAATCCAACTCCTTTTTCATCTTTTAGGGATAGTAAAATGTAAGCTTTTTTAGGATCATGAATAATCAGAAATGTGGATGATTTTAACCTATAGAACCATTCTGAATATTGGCTATATCATTTAAAAAAAAGAAAGAAAACTGCCTGAACTGTCATCCCTAACAGATTGCCTTGTTGCTATTCCTGCCAACATCTATGAAATATTTCTATTCTGTTCCAATTCTCAACAGAAGTAAATAAGGAAGTAGTAATGTGGCTGATTTCCAGTCTCGTGGCTCAATATTACGTTGGCTGAGGAAACTGCTGCTTGCAGAAACAGTTCTGGGATAACTCAAAGGGAGGGAAAAAACTGATGCCCAGATGGTATTGGCTTTTGCTCCAAGTATACTGGGATATTAATGCTGCATTCTCCACAATGAAATGTGTTCTAGACTGTATCTACAGCTCATCCACTATTTTCCGCCTGCACTGCTACACTTGAAAAATGGAGAAGTTTCCCTACCCCTGGCACACAAATGGTCAAAGTGGCATTCTGAATTGGCAAAGGGGAGAAAAAGCAAATGAAGAGCAGATTGTTAGCACTCCTCTCTTTGCAAAGAACAGACAGAAAGCTGTTCTGCTTATAGTGAAACATTATTATAGGGAGCTGTAACATAAAAGGATTAGTAATATTCAAATAGAAATCACCATTTTGAGGGCCATTTTCTAAAAAGTTTCTAATTAAAATAGCCCTTATGCTCCCAGCATCTTGGAGCCATCACATACCTCATAACTGGCATTTGGGCACTCAGCTGAAACTTCAACATATTTTCTGGCACACTGAGAACAAGTTTTTGTATTTATTGGAGCTTCGCTTTAAAAGGACAAAGACATTGACGTAATAGGTTTAGATTTATGATCTCCTTAGCCAATTTTTTTTCTATAGTATGAAAAATCCCCCAGTATTTCAAACTCAGACTAACTAAAACAGAACTGCTCGCTCTCACCCTTGGATCTATACATAGCTTGAATGACACCTACACAATATACTTCTTCCAGTTTTGCAAAATCAAAGTTACAGGCTCATCATGGCTCCGTGGTTAGGAACATGGGCTCTGGAGTTAAGAGTGCCTGATCCTATCCCTGGGTGAAGCTACGAGCTCTCGAGGCCTTAGTTTTCATATCTATTGAATGAGGTTACTAACAGTAACCATCTCATAAGGTAGTTGGGTGCTACCCTATGAGGTGAACTAATGTGGGTACATTATAAACACATGCTATTGTTATTATTATTCCACCTCCTAGGTGATTTTAAATTAAATCCTATGTCCCTAACCTAGGTCATAGTTTTTTTACCTTACCTGGGTACCACAATATTCTTTTAATTTCTAAGTGGGTCTCCTTAACTCCAACTATACCCCTTTAATATCCCAAACACTGCTTTTCTCAGAATTGGTCCTAAACACAAATCCAGGTAAGTCAAGGTGATTTAAAAATCTAATGGTGATTTTTCATGGCCCATGAGATAAGCTTCAAATTCTAGTCTGGCATCCATTAATTCTCCAGTAATAGATTCAGGTGGCAGAACAGAAGTAGCTAGAATGGGCCCAGCAGTACCTGAATGCAAAGTAATCGCTTGCTAAAGGCATGAATGGATTTAGAAGTCAAGTCTGGTTTTTAAAATAGTTACACCTCTGTCACAATTTAGCTATATAATTATATAATTATATATAATTATAGCTAAATAATCTCTAGTGGTCTTACTTAGTTTCCTCATCTAAAAGTTGATTATCGTATCATTCCTTTCTTAGCTTAAATCCTATAATCTTCCTAGTTTCCCTGGCATGGTTCGGCTTTAACTACACTTTCGTTTTACTCTCTATTCTCTCCAAAGAACTTTTCACTTTAAAGTTCTGGTTCTAGCCGTTCCTTTTGCTTGAAACTTCCAGCCCCTCCCCACCAATATCTTCCTGTGGAAATTCAACCCACTCTACAATAGCCAACTCTAATTTTGCCTTATTCAAGAAGCCTTCTCACCTAAACTCTCACCTCCACCCTCTTAATTTTAGGTGGATTTCTTTTGCTCTTTCGCTCTCCTAGTTCACTGAGAGTACTTGATAGTAAGACATCGCTTTCCCTCTTCTATTGGTTATCTATCTGTCCAAAAATCTGTACGGATGACAGTTAAAAACCTTGTCAGTCCTTGACATAGAAATAGATTCAACATTCTGAGTTCAGACATTCAGTAACTTGGTAGTCAGAAAGGTACTTTATAAACTTTTCACTGAATTTGAGTCTCAGGCTCTGGAACTGTTAGTGGAGAGATTTGAAGATATGCAAACATAGTTTTGTTTTGTTTTGTTTTCCCTAGTGGGCAGAACACTTTAGAATGAACCTGATCTATAGCTGGTTTTCTCAAACTGCATTCTTAGACCATTTACATCAAATTAATTTGTGGTGCTTGTTAAAGATATAGATTTCTTGGCCCCACTCAGACTTACTGATTTGGCATCTCTAAGAGTGAGGCCTGGGCATTAGCCTTTGTAATGTGCGTATAGTTTTAATGACTTACAAATCAAGTCCATATTTCTTTTGACTGTATAACAATATTGTAATTTGGCGATTCTCAAAGTGTGGTACAGGAGCCTCTGGGGGTCCCTGATGAGACTTTTTCAAAATGATTTTTCAAAATAATTTTCATAATAATACTGGGACATTATTTCCTTTTTTACTCTCATTCTCACACAATATGGTGCAATTTTCTAGAGGCTACATGATGAGTGATAGAATGAATGCAGAAGGAGATGAGAATCTAGCTGTCTTCTATTAAGCATTAAAGAGACTCGTAAAAATGTGAAACAGTGGCATTCTTTTCAATAATTTTTTTGTGTGTTTTGGAAATTCTTCTTCATAGAAATGGTATTTATGTTAAGATATAATGAGCCTACTGTTTTAAATAAATCAGTAACTTTTCTGAAAGTTCGGTTTTGATAACTAAACTGATAAATATTGATAGATGTAACCCACACAAGGCAAAACTCTTTGACGTTCTCAATGTTTCCAAAGTGTAAAAGGATCCTTAAACCAAAAAGTTTGAGAACTTTTTCCTATATTATCAACAGCACTTTACTGATAAGATTAAGATACAATTAAGTTGCTCACTGAGATTCCACACTTAAACCCCAAATTCTATGCACTTTCCATTACAACAGAAAATCAGAGGAAATTACCTATGTTAAACTTAAACAGTCGTTTTGTTTTATTTCTAATAGGCATTTTTAACAAGCTCCCAGGTGATACTGATGCCCCTAAATTTAGAGAACTACCCTGAAAAGCAAAGGGAACGATCTGAAGGGTTTTAGGAAGTGACGATTATATACTCGTATAAGGACATTAAAAAGGTGATTCTTAAGGCATTAAATGGAGTTGGAGACTTGCAAGGTCAAGTCCCTTCACCTCTCTGGGACTTAGTTTTTCACATCTGTACAACGAGGGTGTCTCTAACGCCCTTCTGGCTGTCAGTCTGGGTTTCACGCATTCACCACTGCTCAAGGGCAACTGGAGATGCATCTTTCTGAGGAGGGGTCATTGGTCATAAATCAGAACATGTCACTCCTCTGCATAAACCTTCAGTCGTTTTCCACTGCTTTCCAAATAAAAGTCAAAATCCTTGTCTTGGCTCATAGATCTGTTTAGGTCTCTGGCTGCATCTTTCTCTTTTTGCTTCGATCACAGCAGCCTTTTTTTCTTTTCCTTGACCTCGCTATAGGCTTGTTCCCACTAGAAGGCCTTTCCATCTGCGATTCCTTGCACCCTTAAGGCTCTTCTCCAGAACTTCATAAGGCTTGCTCCCTCTCTTCGTTCTGTCATATCATCCTGTTTAAAATGTGTTGTCTTTAAAGCACTCCCTACCATCTTAGATAATCGTGTTTGTTTGGTGACATGTTTATGGTCGGCCTTGTACAGCAGGATGTCAACTACTTGAGCAAAGCCACAGTCGGCTCGTAAACCAGTCTGTCGGTCCCCCAGCGCTCAGGGTAGTGCCTGACAGCTCAGTAAACGTACGAAGGCCGAACTCCTGCCGCTCAGGCCAGGACTTCAAAAAAACCGCGATACTCTAGCGTCCTTCACGTCGTACCCCCAGCCGCTGGCTCGAACCCAAGGCTTAGCACCCCCAGGACCTCCCGTGCAGCGACCCGCACCCAGCCCTCACTCACCAAAGCCGCGCCGAGCTTCTTCCGGCTGGAGCGGCAGCTTGACCCGGAAGTTCTCCCGGGCAGGCGCGGCCCCTTCGACAGTGAAGGAGCACTTCCGGGGTTGTAGGAGCAGCTCGTCGGCAGCTGTGGCGGCGGTGAGGGTGGCGCCCTGCAGGCTGAGGGGGCTTCCAGGGAGGAGCTCGGCCGGGTGCGGGGTCCCGGGGTCCGGGGCCGCTGGGGGCGGGCGGGGGGAGGAAGCGGTCTGGGGCTGGGCGGCTGACACCTCACAGCTGGAGGCTGAGGCTGTAAAAGGGCTTTGGTTCTTAAAAGCGCTACGTGTGTGTGAGGCATTCTCGTTGCTGTCAACTTAGGATCCCATGTTTACACGAGACCTCCCGTTTGGGACCTGTTCTTGTGTGTGGGGAGACGTGAGAGCGCATGTTTGTCCGCCTAGAGACAGCCGTATTCTTAACGACAGTAATGATAGAGACAACCACCGCCGCGAGCACTGTCAGCAGCTGTCACCCGAGAGCAGCTCGGTGCCTCTCCCAGGCATCGCGTCGTTTAATCTTTATAGGAACCCTGTCAAGGAGGCATTCCTAGCCCCATTTTACAGATGTGGAAACGGAGACGCAAGTGGCGGTGCACTAACTTCCCACAATCTCTGCAGTACAAACAGAGGTGGAAGAAAGTCATTTTACCTGCAGAGCCCTTGCTCTTAGCTAAGCTAAGCCGCCTTCCATTTTGGTAACTGTGGCTGGAAGTTCCCAAAGGGGGGGGGGAATTTATATATATATA